TATATATATATATATATATATATATATATATATATAATATATGCATATATACATACATATGTAAATATATACATATGTACATACACATTTGTGCACATGCAATTGTGCTTGCGTGTTTGCGAGCGTGAGAGAGAGAGTTTATAACTTACAAGCAAAATGCATACACATGACATTGACAGACAGACACATATACATATATGCACATATGTATAAACATGCAAACACAAACACACAAACACATATATATATACAGTATATATGTATTCATTTATACACATTCATATGTATATATGGATACATATATGCACACATATATGTATATGTATATGTATATATATACATATATACACACATATATATATATATATATATATATGTATGTATGTATGTATGTATATGTATATGGATGTATACCATACAAGTGTGCACATAATATCCATCGAGATATAGACAAGACAGACTTTGCATGTGTCGACACCTGAACCTCCTTCAGGAGTGTCTCCAAAACGTGGCCACAACTTCAGTGTGCACAATTCCATTTCATTACAATCGATGAAATGCCTCCACTACTCTTGTTATAACCGCGCAATGATCACTTATGAATATGACATCTCAGGCGTAGAGTCAGTACCTGGCCGTCGTAAGGAGGCGGGTCTTGGTTGAAAGCCACCATGGCGTTGAAATCTCTAACTCAGTGTCCGCCGGGTTACGTCTGCCACTGCCAGAACACTGGTGTCGACTGAGGATACCACTACACGTGTTTCAGGGTCTGATTAACTGTAGCCCCGGTAAGCCACACGATATTTATTCGAAGAGAACTGAGGCTCCGCCCCCTTAGGAGGTAAGCCCCTCCCCTTCCTGACCAGTGCCCATCATTCTTGTTGTTTGTACTTTTTATTTCGCCTTTACACTTTTCATATCATGGAGTGTAAAATGAACATATTTTCGAAGTAAACACTACAAGAATATCTCCCATTAATCTTACTAATAATACGAAGCGAGAATAACTACGTCAGGAAACGTCACACTGCGTCACTACCTCCCGCAGGTCGAGCAGCCAACCAGAATCGCTCGTCTGCGAAGGAAAGGTTTTCATTGCTTTAACTCTCTCCGCCCACATTGCATAATCGACAACAAAACTGGAATCGAGAGGATAATGCCAGACCCTCACTTTTGCTCAAAGTTCCTCACTTACCGGACATGAGGGAGTTGCTGCTCTTGGAAAAGTCTGAAGGGCACCGGAGACCCAGGAGTGCTTGCATGAGCATGTGAGGATGAGTCACCGTCACCCTGTTAACTGCACAGGGCTGCACGCGGAGTCGTACATGATAATGCCTCATGGTTCGAGCACAGTTTCCTCTCTCAAAGTGGATGCAGCAGCGCGGTGCATGCGGCGGCGCTCGGAGGCAGGAAGGAAAGGATTGGCCGCAGCCTTCGACGACGTCCAGCCTAGCCCGCCCGGCGAGAAGATTCAGGTTTATAATAAATCTTAGGGCTTACAGGAAGGACATTCTCGGTGAAAATACTCATCCCGGAAGAACGATTTTAGTGACTGCATGAAGATTGAGAATAATGTGACGTGCAAAAGGAGAGAAAAAATAGATGTTCAGGGAGAGAGAGGAGTATGAAACAGTGTCAACAGAGACATGTACAGAGAGCAATTCGAAGATTCTGTAGCATCCGACGAAGGAACCTCAGGAAAGACAGGGCGGATCCCAGTGGCTTTGAGGAATGACATTGGTTTAGATAATACTTCCCAGGTGTGACTGGCCTCGAAGCGCGGGCTGGAGGGCGGGCGATCACGTGCGCCTAATGGAGACGCCCACGTGATCATTCCACACAGAAATGCGCGCAGTCCACAGCCATGCAGGAGCGCGCTTGATAACGCATACACAAAGGATTTACTGCAAATGTTGCCAGAAACAGCTCAGGGTATATCATTCCTCTTAATTGAAAAGACCAAGATACTGGCTATGATTACAAGCAAAAATGGATTCTTCAACAATGAAACAAAAGAGTGACATGAGATATGCGACGCACACACCTTTGTTGTTGTCCTTTATCCCCGCCTCCAACAGAAGAAAGGCGTCAACACATCTTTCTCCTCGAGGAAAAAAGAAGGCGGGCCCCAGATCACGTTGCTATCATGAGAGGAACACGAACTCGAGGCGCGCCAGGTGACTGACCAGCGAGGACGAAGGAGAACGCCTTGCTACGACTTAACTAGTTCAAACCAGTCCTGGACTAGAGTACTTCTTCTTCTTCCAGCGAAGCTCTTGTGCTCTTGTCATTTTTTTTCCAGCATTTTTGGATTTCCATGTTTACGCTCTCCTACTTACGAGCAGAGATTGGAAGTGTAGAACGCTGACTCGGCACCTGAATATATATATTTTTTCCAGCAATATATTTTTCGATCTCTCTAATGACAAAACTAATCCCCCAGGCAGAATATGACGCAATTGATGAATTTTGAGGAGCCTCAGTCCAAAATTATTTGCCAAGCCGTTAACTGGTAGATGAAGTTTGACATGTCATTTAAGGTCAGGTCAGAGAGGGGTGAGCTAGGGCGGGAAAGGAAGGACGCGATGGAGTGAGCTAAAGGTCCGATGAGTTGGCGCGCGCAAGGTCAAGGTGCAATGGGATGGCAATAGCCTGGGTAGAGTAAGCAAGGTGCGCAAAGGCGGCTGGCACTATCAACCTGAATGAATGAACAAAACTACAAAATTGAATAAAGAATAAGATCATTGCGCCGCTAAACACTCCATTTAACTGTATATATAATCCACTTCTTGTCGTATTTTTTTCTTATGCGTTATCAGAGTTATTTGTTCTGGAGTTTCCTCTGATAAAGGGGAAGGCGAGTTCCGCGCTTATCATGATAAAATATATATGATTCCCCCATTAGTTAAATGTCGCTTTCATTTCCTCTTCCCTATTTGCTTCTGATGTGTTTTCTCATTTCTTTTCTCTTATTTTCTCTCTCCTTTTATTCTCCCTTCAACCCACGATTGGCATTTGTTTTCTGTCTTCTCCTTCACTTTTGTTATCTTTGTCTACTGTCTGTCTGTCTCTGTCTGTCTCTGTCTCTCTCTCTCTCTCTCTCTCTCTCTCCTCTCTCTCTCTCTCTCTCTCTCCTCTCTCTCTCTCTCCTCTCTCTCTCTCTGTATGTAACTATATATATATATATATATAATATATATATATATATATATATATATATATGTGTGGTGTGTGTTGTGTGTGTGTGTGTGTGGTGTGTGTGTGTGTGTGTATGTGTGTGTGTTTGAGAGACATGCGTGCAAGCATACACATAGACATTCACACAACACACACACTAACACATATTACTTGTGTGATCGAAGTCTACCTTACTCTCCCTTCCTCCACCCCCTCCCCGAGGAAAGATAAGAAAGCAAAAGGAAGTTGAAAAAAAGAGAAATGTCGACAAGAAGGAAAAAAAGTGCCAATGACGTAAGAAGTCAAGCCGCATGACAGTGCGTTGCGTCTCAGCTCCGAGTGCCACGGAAAACAACCTGGCACTCCCACATGCCGGGTGGGTTGCATGCTTTCCAGTAACTTTCTTCGCGTGTTGTTCCTTTTGTCAACACTAATTCTATCACTCATAATGATTTACGTTTTGGAACACAGGTATGCGGGGGATTAACTAATTTCTGTAAATCTAAAATCGTAGCAGATAAAGGTCCAGCGTGGGCGAGTGTGCACGTGGCAGGGTATAAGAAACCAGTCGAGGTTCACGTGGCCGTCCCAAGAAGAAGAAGAAGAAGAAAAAAACGACTCGCAGGGAGATCAACCTCCATAAGTCAGCACTTTTTTTAAGGCTCCTCTTTTTATGCTCACTCATTCTCTGCATATCATCAAGCCGCTTTTGAGCCTCTAATTTGGAAAGCCAATGAGAGACACACACACACACAAAATTCTAGTGATTGGCTGCGTCGAATCTAATCACACTGAGTCTTGTTCCGCTGGGATTGGCCCGGGAAACGCCAATCAAGGTTACATAATCAAGTCCACCTGAAGAATATCACGCCATGTGACCTTGGGCTTCTCCGTTTAGTAGGCAGCTGACGTGAGTAATTACTGAGCCCGATAATCTATGACAACACATTTTCCTCAATGAAAAATTATTGTGAATGACAAGGAAATATTTATCGGTAGTGATTAGATTCAAATAATACCTAACAAAGGTTCATGGGAAGAAATGGTGTGACGGATGCGAATTAAGATAGGAATGATTTAGTTTTAACAACCATCTTGACAGTGAAATAATGTCAAAACCGTGATACAATACTTGTGTTGTATTGATGATGAGAAGTTGAGCAATGGAACGGATTGCAAAATGAGGCATTCCTCTTGACGGTGTTCTTCGATACTTTCAATAATCATCATAACTGTCGTTGCTGCTATATGTGCATATTTATATCATATATGTATGTACATATGTATATTACACAGAGCATGTATATATATATATATATATATATATATATATATATATATAATATATACATATATAATATATATAATATAATATAAATATATATATATATATATATATACACACACACACATTTTGTGTGTGTGTGTGTATGAGTGTTGTGTGTGTGCATATGTGTATGCATGTATGCATGTACGAGTATACATACCAAATATATGTGAATATATATAATATATATATAATATATATATATATATACATACACACACACACGCATATATAATAAATATATATATGTATGTGTGTGTGTATGCATGCATATATGTATATATACATAANATAACAGTACACACGATGTGTACTATGTCTCTGCTCTAATCTCTCTCTTCTCTCTCTCTCTCTCTCTCTCTCTCTCCTCTCCTTTCTCTCTCTCTCTCTCTTATTTGATATCTATTAATTACTATATATATATATATCAGTACGGTACTATTATATACTATCAATGTAAATATATAATAGTGTATATTTTATATATATATGTGCTGCTTGTCTTAGTATGGTAGGCTTGTGTCTGTTTGTGTCTGCACAGGTCCTGAGTTGTTTGCAGTATGTCGTGCTTTAGTATTTGGATGTCTAGTGGATGTATTAAGTTGTATTGTATTCCATGTGAGACTGATGCTTATATGTGTGCATGCTTATGTAGTGTTCAGTGTGTGTTATACAGTTGACTATCATTACCTTGCTTTTATTAGTCATCATCAATTCTTATTTTTTTTCTTAATTCTCTATTGTTATTTATGTTCATAATCATCAGTATACTTCTTATCACTTCTACCATACCATACAGAATCTCTCTATCATGTACCACATATTCTTAATTTCTAGTTATTTCATCAATTATTATATCTATATCATCATGAAAGCCTCCGCCGTAATACTGATATTTTACTCGCCGTGATTGTCCATTACGTAAAGGATCTTGTTAATAGGTATGCTATTGTAATCTGCCTACATGCAATACCCACTACCTTATGAAACACACATTGAAATATCAACATCAAGTAAGAAACTCGAAACTAACGCTTTTCGACCCAGGCCATTTTATTCGCCGATCCAGTGATTAATTCAGCACATTACATCATAATCATAGGATCTGAATATATACGTTAGCCCGTACATCCACTCAAGGGCCCTCGTCGCTTAAACTTCACGCCCTTGCAACCTGCCTAGAGCGCGACGGCAGCGTCTGCGTGCCACGATCACGGTAGCGCGCCTCATGGGGGGGATGCTAACACCATCCGCAATGCCCTTGCCCGTCAGGGCATGTAGCCTTATCGCAAAAACTTTGCCTACGCACAGAAAGATTCCGCCAACTCAGCAGTGTACAGTTGGATCACAAACATATGCAGTTTCGTGTTGCAACGGTAAACTTTTACGCCTACCTATTCTGTAATATAGGATGCTATCTATGCGCCATACAACAATTCATGTTTATATACTTTATGTAATTATATATATTATAACTATTAGTAGTATATAGTAATTTATTATCTATATATGTAGTATAGATATACGTATATATATTAGCGGTATATTATATTAATATATTTATATAATTATACATACACACATACATGCAGTTACATATACTAATAATATATATATATTAATAGTATATATTATATATATCATCTAATTATTATTATTATGAATCATATTGTGTATGTGTCTAGCTGTGTGTGTCTCGGTGTCTCAGATCAATCTACCTACCTGAGCCAATCACAACCTGTGTACGTGTGAGATTGTAGTCAGTTGTGTTCATAGAGACCTGTAAGACTCTTAATAGTAAACGTTGGAACTATTGTGTGGCCCATCTTGCTAGTAGCCTCACATGTGTGTGCTGTGCCTGTGCTGTACGGCGTACTGTACGAAGTTGTGTCGTGCTGTAGATGCGTCGTGTGTGTGTTGTGTGTGTGCTGGTGTTGTGTTGTTACCGCTTTAGTCAGCCGCACAACATCGTGAGGCGACGCGTCTATTCAAGTTGTGAGTGTGTGTGTGCTGCTATGTATTCATATACATATATACATACATTGATATATAATATATATATATGTATATATATACGAAATATTAATATAGAAATATATATTGTGCCTGTGTAGTGCTGTGGTGCTGTGGTGAGTGATTTCGGTCTCGTGTGTGCTGTGTAGTAGTCCCTCTGTGTTGCCTGTATTCGTAACTTCGTCTAGATATAAGCGAACTCATGCATCAGTCAAGAGCTACTCGGAGATCAATATCTGTGTGTGTGATGCTGTTTGCGTGTATCTGTGCTTGTTATGTGTGCGCTCGTGATTTGTGCTGTTTGTTTGTTTGTTTTGTTTGTGTTACTACAGAGATGTGTGTAGTTGTACGCCTGGTGTGCATGTTCGTTGTGCTGCTTAGCTGTGACTGTGCTACGTGCTGCTGTGTTATGTGGAAACAGCGCTGCCATGTGTTGTGGTGCTGCAGTGCTACCAAGTGTATGCGCACCTGTAGTGTGTACGTGGTGTGCTCTGATAAATGCTACATGTATATGTGTCACTACGTATTATTATATATACTAGTATACGTTATACATAGATAATATTATAGTATTATAATATTATATATATAGTATAACTGTATATATATATATACCATAACTAATATATACTATAGCTATAATATAGTTAAATAAATAATATATTATATTATATATACTTAGCTATAGAGTACGAGAGACGAGCAGGACGTGTATACATCACTTATCGTGCCTCTTTCCTGAGAGCATGATTGATGAGAGAGGACGGAGAGAGATTGTAGTACTATATATATTATAGTAGTATATTAATCGATATAAGTTATAAATATATTAACGATATAGTATATACATAATTATATATATATATACATATATATCATATATATTATATATTTATAGTATATATATAGATGTATGTATGTATATGTAACATATTACATATCATACATACATACATACATTACCATTATACTTATGATTTATT